CTGCCACACTCCTACAGCTGATGGTCCTTGGGGCTTCCTTCTCTCCTCAGGGGCTCCCTGAGCTGGCTCTCCATGAGATCCAGTTGATGAAGGACCCTGACCACCAACAGAACGAGGAGGAGAAGATCAGCTCCTCCAGCCTCCGGCAGAGGCTGCTGGGGACGCTGCTGCAGCCCCCACGGGTGAGGGAGAACCACGGCTGTGATGGGAGCGGTGTGCCCGGGAGGAGGGGTGGGAACCTTGGGATCCACAGAGTTTGGCAATGCTCCTGCTGCTCTGCAGGCCAGATCCTTTCATGCCCATCTCCAGGCTGGGGCATTGGGATCCTTCTCCAGCAAAGCCCAGTCCTCCGTTTGCTGCCATGGCTTTCCTTCTTCCCTTAGCGAGACCCGGCCTTGCCATCACGCCCGTATGTGATTGGGCTCACTGGGGGCACTGGGAGTGGGAAAACCTCCATCGCCAAACTCCTGGGGCACCTGGGCGCCTTTGTCATCGATGCTGACAAGCTGGGCCACGCCGTCTATGTCCCTGGTGGCCCAGCCTACGAGCAAGTAGTGGCAGCCTTTGGGGCAGGTAGAGCCACCAGAGGTTGTGGGAAGGACTGGGAGGAGGAGGGGGAGGGAGGGGTGTCCCAACATCCCAAGGAGCCCTGGCCTGTGTCCCCCTCCTGTCCCATGGGTTTTGGGCTCCCCAAATGTCGTGTGTCCCATGTCAGAACTGCTGGTGGGGAAGGCTGAACTGGGCTGCTGTTTGCCTGGGATGAGCTCTCCCCTGTCCTTTTCATGAGTCAGGTGAAGAGCTGCCAGGTCAGATCTTACAGGCCCTTTCTGTGTCCTGTTGAGAGCCCTGTGCCAAAGATGTTTCCCTGACCCAGGCTTGCCCCAGGGATGGGAGTTGGGTTTGTTCCTGCCAAACCTGTTGTGCTTCTGTCTTGCAGAGATCTTGAATGAAGATGGGACGATTAACAGGAAAGTCCTTGGGGCCAAAGTGTTTGGAAACCAGGTAGAAGCAGCACGGAGACTCAGTGTTTAATCCCATGAGCCAGGGGAGCTCTCCCCTTCTGTTGAGGCTTTTTAGTTTTCAGTCCTTTGAACTGATGACACCTTCCTGGCTACACTTCCTGTCAGTGACAGGGCAGGACAGATCTGTCTCTGTAGCTGAGTCAGCAGCTGTGCTGGACATAGTCCTCTTGCCCTGCAGCTGCTGCTGTCTCCCCATCCCCGTCCCCTCTATGCCATGCTTTTCCTTCACCCAGTGTGGAGCAACAGCCCTGACGTATGTGGAGCTGGTGCTCTCTGCCCCTTGTACCGAGGGAGCTCAGTGACACCTGACCTTGCTGGTGGGGCCAGTGCTCAGCCTGTGGCTCTGGTGCTGCCCCAGCCCCAGGTGGAGGCAGCTTGAGGGGTCCCCTGGGTGGATGGGTCTCATGTGGGTGCTGCTGCACCAGGACCTCACTGTGCTGAGGGGCAGCAGAGACCAAGGGTCTGCTATGCCTGGCAGGGCAAGGAAAATAATACCCCCCCACCTTCCTGGGTGCCCCCTGACTGCTGACAGCCACCATCCCCTTGTTGGCTGCCCAGGAGTTCTGAGGGTAAAGGACCAAATCCTGAATCCTGCCCTGGTCCTTTGTAGGAGCGGCTGAAGAGCCTGACAGACATTGTGTGGCCTGAGATAGCCCGGATGGCGAGGGAGCAGATCCGGGAGGCCGACTCTCAAGGTAATGGGGGCAGCTCCATCGCAGCCTCAGCTCATCAGTGAAGTGTCTGTGCTGCTGGAAGGGGGAAGCTGAGCCCAGGCTGGGCCAGAGCTGAGGAGCCATCGCTCCATCCATGGCCAGGCACTGAGGAATGCCCTTCTTCCACAGGGAAGGCCGTGTGTGTGCTGGATGCTGCTGTGCTGCTGGAGGCCGGGTGGCAGGACATGGTCCACGAGGTGTGGACGGCCATCATCCCAGAGGAGGAGGTGAGCCATGCCCTGGGCCCCTCACTCGCTGCCAGAGCTGGTCCTCAGCCTCCCCTGAGTGTCCCCTCTGCCCCTGCCAGGCCGTGAGGCGCATCGTGGCCAGGGATGGGCTGAGCGAGGAGGCCGCTCGCTGCCGGCTGCAGAGCCAGATGACCAACAGGCAGCGGGTGGAGTGGGCACAGGTGGTGCTCTGCACCCTCTGGGAGCCAGATGTCACCCGGCAGCAGGTGAGCCTGGGGCTGCCACAGCACTGGAGGTGTCCTGGGGGACCAGAGGGCTCAGTGCTGTGCCTGGGCTGGGCACTGTGTGCCTGGGTGTGCTCTCACCATCGAGGCTGCCTCTGGACACGGCCACAAGGGAAGGATTTGGGGGTGTAGATGCAGCTGGGAAGGGATAGGAGGCATGGGACCCTTGCATGACCCTGTGCCAAGGTGCC